CGCAGTTACAGTGAAATAAGATCCAGTGGCAGTGGATGACCACACAGCGCGTTACAGCCGTCCTACCCGTTTTTAGTGACTTTCTAACTTTGGTTTTGGTCTCGTTGTAGCGAGTGGGGGTGGGATCGCTGTGTCAGTAAAATATCTTAGAGACGTGACGTGTGCAGCATAGCGCGAAAGCCCTGTTTCGCAATGACTGAGAATTGCTGTGCAGACTGCAGGTCACCTAGCAACGATGCGTTATTCGCATTTATAAGCAGCGCAGTTGGTTTCCTGGCAAGTTAAATCTGCAACGAGAGACTGTCAAACACTAAAAAGTTGCGAAGATGAAGTCACTTCTCTCCCGAATTTTCTCGTTACACCTTAAATGGTGCCTCTTTTACATTCGGCGCCTCAGTCAGAATATAAGGTGGAACGGAAAAATTTAAGGTGGAACAAGAAGCTGGAGAATGAGAAGCGACTTCAGCCTCGTAAGACAGCTGAATGTTGAGAGACATTTTACAAGAAACTGCTCTAGTTTTGAGGAAAAGTTTTCTGGTGGAGATGGGAGGAAAGCGGCTGTAGGCGAAGCTTAAAGCAGAGCAGAGTAAATCTGCGCTCTCATTTATATTTTTTAGCCTATACTAGGACATTAACACATACTGGACATTAAATGTTGCGGCTCCCAAGGTGGTTTGATTTTTGTTGAAAGGACAAAATGTTATCATTTGTGTTGTGACTCCTGACCTAACCTGGCTTTTAATGCAGAGGGAGCCGGTCGGATTTCTCACTTATCCAGTTGTGTTTTTGTTGTGTGCCGTCACAGACTGTCCGGGCGCTGCACTTACCCACTTCCAAGTTCCGCCTTTTGCGTTCCGTCAACATTGTTATAAATTAAATATTTAGAAAATCGATTTTTGACATTTGTGAATCGATTCAGAATCGTTCACATCCGCATCGCGATGCATCTAAGAATCGATTTTTTTTCTCGCACCCCTAAGTATATGTATCAGTATATGTTTTTTTAATGGTGGTTGATCATCTCTAAAATTAGTCATTTAAATACTGCCTTTTACTGTACTTCAGTTCTACAATAATATTAACAGTAGCGGCCATTAAATGCAGGTGTGAATAAAGGTGATCATTTGTCTTTATGAATTTACATTCTATCTGATTAACAACAGCAGTGTTGACAAAGTGTACATTATATATTATTTACATGTGTTTTCTTTAAAAACAGTGCAGACATAATGAGTTTTGGCTATGAAAAAGTACTTAAAACTCAAGAAACATGTATGTCACAGTGAGAGTTGGAGAAATATTGTTCTACAAACTTACAGCTCTTTGCCTGTTTTCAACAAGTAGCTCCTCTATCTCTGTGGTCCGCTGCACACGCCGCGTGCATGCATGCCTCTTCTCCTTTTTTTGGCTCTCTTCTAGCTTTCTCATTCGCTGCTGAATCAATCTTCAATCACTTTGCTGACCATCTCACACTACAGGACTCATGAACTTTTTAGTCATAAAAAACGCCTATTAAAGGCCTCCGATCACTCCAGAGCCTGATCAGAGAATAAAGAGTTACCCTCTCACTAACAGATGCTCAGCTTCCGATTGAGCTCCCGTTCTGTAAAATCTCCTTGGAGTGTGAAAATATGTCGGATGGAGCAAATCAGGGTTAAAATCATACTGAAAAATCATGTAGTATAGGTGTAGCTGAACTGGACCGCTTTAGTGGATGGTTCTCATAAATCCACTCCTTCATTTAGAGCCTTTTCTTTGAAATCGTACAACTGATTCGCTTGCCCTGCTGCACCCCCCCACCCCCACCCCCCCTTCAGGCTCTTATAAGCCATTATCTTGCATAAAGCCCATCAGTGGAGTTCTGATTGCTAACTCTGGAGACTGAGGCAGAGCGGCTGATTAGCCTGCGCTGCTGCACTGCGGTTGACTCTTCTTACAGGTCTTGTTTGTGTAGGATTAGACTGGAGCACAGGTGTTCTCATCTGTGTCTCTGTTTGAAGTGGATCACAGGGGGCTTTGATCACACACACACACACACACACACACACACACACACACACACACACACACACACACACACCCTAGAGCACTATGGCTGTGCACAGATGTTTACCATACAGATGACCTCACAGGTCAAGGAATTTTCTTTGTAATCGCAAGAGGGTCACTTGATACCAAGAGGTGATGAAGGAAGAGGGACAGAGAGCAAACCTTACACCAGCACTTTGAAGTGGTGATACAAAGCCTGTTTTGACAATACAGTTTGTCATGCTTAGCTTGCTTATGCAATAGTGTAGGCCTACCTGTTTTCCCTTTTTTGTTAGTAGACTTTAAAGTTTAAAATGAGCCTTCCCGAAAATTGTTTTAGGCCAAAACTTTAACTCAAAACTATTGTAAAACAGTGTCTCGGGCATCAGGTAATGTATTTGTGTCCATTTCATGTGATGACATTCTGCGAGGGAGCTTTTAGAGGCATCAAATCATTGGTAAACATCTGGTTCCTATCACCACCATTGTGAACAGATGCTGACAGATTCTGACGTAGTAAATTACTGTAGAATGGCACATTTCCCATCAAACTGCTCTGAATTACTTTGATAATGTCTTAATAATTAAATTACGCATACATTTAGTAGAATTTCCCTTAAACTGTCAGCCATCTCTTATTACAATTGAGCCCTTTAGTGCTGCGGTTTGATTTAAAACAAAATGACTAGAAAAGATATCTGGACGGTCTTTTGATCAAAGGGCTAACACTACCTTGTATCTCGAGCATGTGGTAATTTGAGTAGCCATTGAACCTTATATCCACTGTTTTTACCCTCTCTTTCAAATTCCAGTTCTTTGTACTTATGCCGCTACGGCTGCCTTTATTTCTCACGCTAACTTTCTTGAGCATTTGTTCGGTGCCATTCTCAGCAGGTTGCAGACTGTAGGGTTGGTTTTAAAGCGCGAGCCAGATTGGAGAACGTGTTTGTTGTTCTGCCTTTTTTGAGCACAGACACAGTGTGCATTTTTCCCTCATAATTTTATCTTTATTTTTCTGCTGAGTTACATAAATCAGTTTTGAATTGTGCCTCTCAGTGAGACTATTGCTGGCGTAACACTGAGGTTATTAAAGCATGGAATGTAATTGTTCATTATCCAAAGCATGCGAAATAAGCTCGCTTTTGGATGCTTCCTCTGGGCCATGCCTGTATTTCACAGAAGAGATTTTTTTGCCATTAAATCGCTTGGTATGGGGACCTTACCTTATGGAAGCAAATATTGCTGCTATTCTGTAATTTTTAAATGGTCTATGGTGAACATGTGTCCCCAGCCCCCCCTCCAACCTTTTGTTCCTTCAGTTTCCAGTCAAAATGGCCCTTAATTACGAGTCATTCTTGTTTCATTGTCAAAAAACGGGTTTAACAGTAAAACACTCAAAAAGCCCCTAACATTATTTATAATATCTGTCAGTACTTAACATGCGTATTCTCTTATGTACCTGCTGTCACTTTACCACTTTCATCTCTCCAGTCTTAAGGCCAATATTTATAGCTATGTCCTCCCAATAAAAGCTGTTCCCTAAGGTGTTCCTGACATTGTTACCCTTCAAAGAGACAGTAACATTCATACAAGCAACAGTGCAAACGCACTGTAGCTGCCTTGAAAAATGTTTTCTTATGTGCATAAAAAAGGGAAAAAAACAAAAATTTCCTGAAGTAGAGTGAAAAAATGAATAGATTTAGAGAAAATGAGACTCATTCCAGCCATGCTAACAATCGTGCAAGACCTAGTAGACCACCAACACTGTCACCATAAGATAAACAGTCCTTAAAGCTTTCATCTTTGAGAGAGAGGAGAAAATCAAGCTCCACTCTTGCTTCTGTTCTGTAAAAAAATCAGGTGTTTCTGTCCATCCTTCCACTGTGAGAACTATGGATCTGAAAGGATGTATAGCTGCAAAGAAGTTACTGAGAAAAGGAAATAGATAAAAATTAAGATTTCTACTACAACAAAACTGGAAATCTGAGATGTGAAACAATGTTCTATGGAACCATGTGTCTAAATTTGTAATTAGGGTATCTTGGATCATGAGAAGCAGAAAATGTAACTTCTAAGCCTGATCTTTGGAGATGTGGGAAAATCCCTGTAGATTTCTTTGACAAACAAATAAGAATGGAAGCTGTAATAAAGGCAAAGGGTGGGCGTAGTTAATACTGAAAAAAAGTGCACCAGTGTCAGATATTTAAAAGCTCATGGAAATTAAATTTTTACAATTGTCGATGCTACTAAATTAAGCATTCATGTTAGACCACAGAAATTAGCTTTTTTAAAACTCCTACTATTGGAACTAAGTCATTTTCTTCTTCCCCTTACTCGGATCTTGTGTGCTTTAGGATCATCTCATTAATCTGTTTCCTCCTAGAGTGGAAATGTCAAGGCCAGATGTCCCACATTATGAGAAATGCATGAAACATGGCAGCCCTTTAGGGGAACTGTGAGAGGAAGTGCTTTTAGTATGTGGAGATCACTATAGAGCACTGAGGCCTCTGAGAGCTGCAACCTTAATGAGCTCCGTTTATGACAGGTGAGCTGTCACATGAGAGAGCGGGATGGAGTTTGGTTAAAAAAAGCTCTCGTTAAGTGTGGTTGTGTCTTGTTGCATTGCAGTCGCCATGTTACTCTGGAGAAATGCACACAGACAAGAGTCGGTCAGGGCTGCTGCTCTGGGCACCTTGTGAGACTGATTAGTATCGGGAAACATTCATCGTTCTGGTTACAGTACATAATGAAGTACTGAAGGGGAAGGCAGCTACTACAGGGGTACATGCTCCACCTGTAGAGCCTGCTAGGGCTGTGCAGAGCATTTGCATTTAGTCTGTAGCTCTGAGCTGTAGAATTGAGAGAGTAGTTGCTATATCAGATTGTTATATCTGTAGCACAGGGTAACATTTGTTGATGTTTTGATGATGTTTTCATGTTTTAACCGACTTGGTTTGATTGTGTTTGTGCAGAGATTCGAGCTCAGCTGGTGGAGCAGCAGAAATGTCTGGAGCAGCAGACAGAGATGAGGGTCCAGCTCCTGCAGGACCTTCAGGACTTCTTCCGCAAGAAGTCAGAGATTGAAATGGAATATTCCCGCAACTTGGAGAAGCTTGCGGAGCGCTTCATGGCCAAGACCAGGAGCACCAAAGACCACCAACAGTATAAGTAAGTGGTGTATTTGTGTATATGAGATGCTGTAGATTGGTGTCACCGCTTCAGTGCACCTTCTATATCTGGTAATTATATTTGTTGAATAAGATGCATTTGATTATAGAACTGACTAAACAGTGTTGGTCTTCAGTACCCCGTGACCAGATGTGATATGATGACCCCTGCCGTAGATAATTGTCTGTGCAGATTGTCGGTCTTTCCCTACAGTGTTGTGTAATTAACGGTTTTCGCACTTTTTGAATCAATAGCGATATTGGCTTCCACGTGTGGATAAGAACTTTATTCAAATGCAAATAACAGACTTACTGTCAGCCTTCACCTCAGCTTAGGCATATTCTTTTGAAGCCTGATGAGGGACAGCGTGATATAGTTCTGCTTGTCACCTATTACATGTTTACTAAATGACACCTCCTGAAATTGCGCTCTGATGCCACACTGTTCATTTCCTTGCCTGAGCTGACTGAAATGGATTTTGAAAAGTGGTTTTCACTCCGTTTTGAAAAATGTATTTATTCCTTTATGAATAAATAAATGTTGGGGAATTGAAATGCAATATTCTGTGAGGACAGGCGTGACTGTTTGGCCTCACGCTATGAATCCATATCCATATTTTAGCCTTTCCTCAGCCTTCTTTAACAGGCCTTTGTGTTTTTGTAGTTTCTTTTCACAGAAGAGAAAGGCAGAATGATTTTTCCCTTATTGACTTTTTAAGATTTCCCTCTCCCTTCCATAGCCTTTATCCTCAAAAATGTCAGTCTTGGGACCTGTAAGTTTCTAGTGAAGACAATTTTAAAGACAGTGATGGTATTGTCTCCATATTAGGCCACTGATTTATGTGGCTTTTACTCACTTGAGGGCAGCACAGATGGTATGGCTGCCCCATTGATTGCAGTATATTCAATACTGTGTTTTGGAGACTGTGGTCAACATTTTAGGACAGGATTGTGGTCAATTCTGCTTCATCTCAGTCCAGTTTCCTTTCAACGTTAGACTGTTGGAATCAGTAAATGATCAGGCTAAATGTTGCTTTTTCAGTAAGATGCTGTGGTTTATTTGACTGTAAGTTAATGTAAAACTTACTTTAATAGGCTGTATTTCAATGCTGTCACATCAAATTTGTCAAGTTAGATCAAGTCCATTTTGTTTATTTATTCAGTGCTAGGTGCTCTTCTCATTTTGTGAACATTTCATAATGAATTGGTCAATATTAGTAGTCCAAAATTACTTTGAATAAAATTTCAGAAGTCAACACACATTAACGTGTAGAACCTTTTCGTTCTTCTTCTGTACACTCACCATTTTGGAAATATTACATAATTTTATGTTAGAGTACAATAAGCAGTTCCCTTATAACTGTGATAAGTTATTACTTACTATGGACAGCCAGACTATCCTGGGGTTCACCAGTTCGATTCTCCCGTGATCATATTCCCGGGTGGTGCTGCGGTGGGCTCCAGCTCGGATGGTGGACCCGCTGGAATGTTGACATGCATTTAAAGTAAGCCTGTGGTCTCATTACCCCACTAGAGTCCGCCATCATGGAGAAAAGCAGGCTTACATTTGCATAACGTTTGAACTGGTGGGAGAGGGGAAAAAAATCTGTTGAGTGTTTGCCCTGCGCTTCTGTAAATAGAGCAGGCGGCTGGCTGCCGACCCAGATGAGTCCAGCAGCTGCGAGTTGAACTGGAGCAGCAGAGAGGCTTGGCCATGGTCCTGTGCAGTTGCATTGCATGATATACCGGTCTGTCAGAGCACGGCCAGTGTAAACGCTGACATCGTACGCCAGTGTAGTTGTGAGATCTGGAGAAAAATAGGATGTCGGATGCTACCTGTGGTCTGAGGAACTTTTGAAATCACTGTTCAAAAGTTTGGAATTGACATTTTCAGGAATATAAAATTAATTTTATTGCAGATATAAGTGATACTAGTGTGGTGGTGGTACTGTGCAACAGGTTTCAAATACAATGTTGTGTAAAAGGCAAATACCATCCTTTGATTTAATTAATTTCCAAAACGGTCATTGAATAAACGTTATTCATTTTTCAGCATTCAAAAAAGGAGGAAACAAATTTAACAGAAAATTAAATAATATTAAATATATAATTAAAATATATTTAAATCTACTTAAATATAGATTTTTCGCTATTTATTTCCCTTTATTACAGTTTTCATTCTTTTTTGGGCAACTTGCTTGTAGGAATATTTTTCCACACCTCCATAGTTCTGTCTTAAAAGTTGGTTACTCTTTCTGCTTCTCACATTCCAAGTCATCCTAGACATATTCAGTGATGCTGAGGACGGACAGTTCCTTGTTCTGAGAACACCAGCAGCTTCTTTGATTGATTTGCAGATTTTCTTCTTTGTTGTCTATTTCCTTTTCTCAGTAAAAGGACAGAAACACCTGTATATTGCTTAATACCTGAAGCAAGAGTGGAGCTTGATTTTTCTCTTCTCTCTCAACGATAAAATCATTAAGCACTGTTTATCTTTTGACAGTTATGACGGTAACAGTTTTGGTGGTCTTGCATGGTTCTCAGCATTCTTGGTCTTTTAATGTTATTGAACTCCAGTTTCAGAAACTAGTGAGAACTAGTGAATGCTGCAGACTGATGATGTAGTAAATCATAGTTTATTACAGTTTAATTACTGTTTTCTTCTAGTTTTATTGTTTTAATTGAACATATTGTTGTTAAAAAAACTTTTAATAAGGAATAAAACCTCTAAATTACCTTTGGTATCTAGTTTATTATGTTTAAATCTATTTTGTATTAGCTACTGTTGTATGTAACCTAAACTACCAATCGTACTAATGTGACAAACTTTTCAGAGGTACTATAAACTATGCAGCTGTGTGAGACACCTAGCACTGTAGATTGCCAGTTTCACTGCTTTCTCTTGAAAGACTTTTGGAGATTAAGCAGTCTGGAAGGTGCTGCTGTAAGTCAGACTGTGAGAGCTAAAACCATCTTAGCACTGCTGTGGGTGAGAGGGCGAATTAGCATTAAAATGAGCGTACAGATTGGACTGTAATTAGCTGGTATTTCTGCGCCGGAGAGCAGAAAGCGCCGAGGCAAAGAAACTTTTTAAAGCTTTCACGGTGACGATGTTACAACAGACTACTCTGCTAATTCTGGAGAGCTTCTTTCTTTCAAAACACAAGATTTTATGAAAGTGAAAATAGCAAGGCTGGAGCTGTTGTGTACAAAGTACTTCTGTCCCAGTGGAGGACAGAGCTCATAGGCTACAACCCTGTGAGGAGACATGTCCAGGTCACTGCACTGGGGGACGTGCTTATAGAGCATGTTCAAGATACAGACTTGATGTTAAAGCAATGGGAACAACATGAATCAACAGTTCAGATTTACCCCAAACATTATTGATGAACTACGAGGCTTTACTTTGCACCAAACTTCATTGTCCACTGGAGCTGCAAAGCTAATGTAGCTAAGAAAGACTAACAAAAACCTTATACCCACCAGTTAGCATCATGCCTAAAGTATCATAAACTTGTCTGAAAAGTCTGGATTTTTTCTTTTCTGTCTGTTTTTTTTAAGATAGACCTGATGTTCGGACATGATTTGAGGCAGGTGTGTGGTTTATGCATACAGTTTCCTCAGTGCTGATTGTAGGGTGTAAGCGTCCACGTTGCTACTACATTAGCATCATGGCTCCAATGTAAAAATAAAGAAGCGAACTTCTGACATCAAACATCTTGGTTGGTTGCCTATATTTGGGGCAAGGGAAACCTGTAAAATATACATTGCAAGGATGTTGTCATTTAATGCAGTGGTTTGGCAAAAAAAAATTTCACTTCCCAATTTTTTATGTGAATACAAGTCAAAACTTCTCTCAACCAGTTTAAACCGCATTCTGGTCTTTATTAAGTTTGCACACGACTTGTCAGTGTGGTTTAGGAGACAATATGACTTAATGTGAGGTATACAAATGAACAAAACTTCACTGTGTAGCTGGACACTACAGGTTATTTTCACAATTTATGTAATGTATGTAAATAGCAGTTAATTTTTGAGCTCAAAGTTAAATTAGAAACAACAGTAGTCTCTAATGCAATCTAGCGTTTATATGCCTGCATGATATCCTGCATGCAAAGAAGAGTCTAATTCTGTCGAGGCGATATCCAGAATGACACCTGTCTGAAATAGCTGCCCGCAGCATTCAGCTGTGCACTGAAGTTACAATTATTTTTATAGTTAACAGTGAGTCATAATGTGTCCTGAACCACATCAACAAGTTTGTGTGACCTTAATGAAGACCTGGATCTGGTTGAGTGGGTTGAGAGAAGTTTTGGGGATGTATTTATGGTAAATATCTGGGTGACTATTGATTTCTAGTGTCTGTTGGTGATGTTGGTCTTGTAGCTCCTTTTTAAAACTAAAGACACAAGGTTTGAACCCCAAATATGTCCTGGCTGATATTGTTTGACAAACCCTTCCTTTAAATCCTGCTGGTTTATTCATATATACCCAGGCTTAAAGAACTGCAAGAATAGATGTGGGGAAATCAGTTTGAGACATTAGTGAGAGAATTCAAATGCAGTTGCCTAGCACCCCACCAATGTTTTATCTTGGGAGTAGAAGACTTTGTCTCATGTGAGTACACACCTTGTGTTTATGAAGTGCTCGTTAGATATACTGGGCATACACACACAAACATGCACATAGACAATTAGAAAAGAGGCATTACATTAGCTGGGCTTTTGTCCTTAATGGTGAATCTTCTTATTTAGAACGTTGTCACTGGAATCATGGTGGCCTGGTCTGCGTGAGAGCCTCAGTAGCTCTATTTGCTGAACTAACACATCAGGCTCTGTTTGTTCAGGGAGGTATGCTGGGATACAGACAGCAGTGATCTGATTTATGTCCAAAGTCTTCCTCCCACTCCTAGAGCCTTCTCAAAGATACCAGATTTTGTTTGCTTGTAGTACAACATGCACTGGGGCTTTGTGTGATCCGTCCTGCTTTAGGGTTTTTGCATTGGGCCTACGGCTTTTGTACAGCTCAAATACCGTTTGCTGCATCTTGGATATATGCCATTCTGTGATACCGTATAAGCATTTGACGGGCCAAAAAAGTCAGTTTATCTGCATCACTGCTCTTGAATAAGCTGCCATTCCATGACCTTGCTGCAGGTTGCTAAATCCCCAACTAAGCAATCTGCCCAGGGCCTCTTAAGACCAATTGGCCGTCATTAGAGTGTTCACTGGCTCTGGAAGCTTCATCCTGTCATCCAAATTGATAGTCAAATGGTTTTCCCTTTTTTTAGGTAAAGACTGAAAGTAATTCACTGATATCAAATGTGGCCTCGTTATTTTCCTGCTGAGTCATGACTGTCTTTGTTCAGGCAGGAGGCAGCAATGGCGTTTTTAAAGCTCGGAAGCAACAGAATAGGCTAGATAATGAAAGATCCTATCTGTTCCACTGGTACTAAACTTCATCTACACTTTTCAGAACGATGGGAAATTTATTTTCTGTAATAATGGTGATCATGCTTGTTTGTTAATGTGGGGCAGCTGGACAATTAGTTGTTCAGTCTCTCCAAATTCACTTTTTTCAGTCAGGCATGCAGCTTTGTTTGTGGAGATCTATTCTTGCAGAGCTTAGTTCCAGCTCTGTTCTAACTGCTGCTCAGTGAGGTCAGTAATGTGTTAGTCTTATTTCATCGTGTTAGTTTCATCACTCAGTGTGATCAAGATCTGCCTATTTTGACAGGTGGGGGCTGTTTGACTGACATGCAAGTGTACCAACCACAAACTACAATGTTTAAGGGCAAAATGGTGCTACAGCAGAAACTGTCCCATGAGAAACGACGTAGTATGCACTATAGACTACTATATAGCAGTGGTTCACGTTCCTAGACCCAGAGTACCACTCTGCGCACTGTTGCGTTTTCTTGCTCTAACACATCCAGTTCACCTCAGGGAGGGCTTGTTAATTAGTTCATTAGTTGCATCAGGTTTGTTGGTAGCAAGAGAAACTAAAAATGGCCAATGGTTCTCCAGGACCAGGATTGAGAATTACTGCTCTGTAGCATTTAGCTCTGTAGCATTAAACTTTTTTTTTCTGGACTTACAGTGGTTCTGTGTTGTCTTTTTTTTTATTTATTAATTTTTTTTTACTCACAGGAGCATTTGGCAGCTTTCATGTTTGCATCCAACTAGCTTATGCACTGATGTGGTCAAATTCACACACACGTGGAGGTCCTGAAAGCCATAACCTGTGAAATTGTCAGGTCGAAGTTTACGGAGTATTGACTCACTGCCCTCGTTTCCAGGTTTGCCATGTGAATGCTCTGTAGGCGTGCAGGGCTAGGCTGTCTGTGTGAAAGGGGTTAGTGTGTCATGCTTCCTGTGATTGTGTGTGGTATGAGGCTCTAGAGGGTCACTGAGGGTCTGTGCGGTCAGGCAGGCAGGGGTAAGGCAGAGTGGTTGGGGCAGCAGGTAGCCTTGTTAGAGAGTGTAGCTGCTGCTAAAGTCACAGCGCGAGGGGCAAACAACCTCCCCTTGTCTGTGCCGGTTA